GAGAAGGATGCAGGAGAATTAAAAGACGCAATTCCAAACCGGAGATAGCCCATCAGAGTGGATATGGTCAGACACAAGGAATTTTCCTGTAGGCAAGCATTCTGTTCCATTTCCAGCTCTGTTAAGATACATCTGGAACCCATATTGGAGCCTTATCTGGAACACCAACGACTTGTTAGCACAACATCTACTTTTCTTCCTCTTTGAATGGTAAGAGTCTGACTTGAATTTTCTAAACCAAAACGTGGACACACTTAGGAAGTGAGGAAGGATAAAGAACATCAAATAAGATTACACAAACAAGAGATTATCCCCTCAGTAGAAATACAAGAAGAAATAAGTGTGGTCAGGCCCCTCCTGCAGGCAGTCATTGAGGGAGAAAACTTGAGTTGCAGGTACAGGCTATGCGGAGAGAATTACCCAGAGCAGTGCTTGGGCATAAAGGATGTCAATAAAGGCTCATTGAATGGTAAATATATAAGAAATTCCATTATGTCTTATGACTCTCTGCTCAAGACATATGCTATTAAGAACTCCTTCACAGTGTCTCCTGTTTTTCCTTCATAACCATTTCACAAGTCACCACAGGCTTTAGTACCATGATGTTGGACTAGTGTGGTTGTTTCTTCCTTAATCCTGCTGCATCTGGTCTCTCCCCATGCTAATCCTCCCCCCAGTGACACTAGATGAACGGTCTTACATATTCCTTTCGTCCTACACTTTTTTGTGCATGTGCAATATTTTTACTTTAAAATTTAATTTCTATTTTTCTCAAAGTGATGTATGTTGAGTTTTAAAGTCGAATATTTTTAAGAGACTTATAATGAAAAACTAACAGCTTACGGCCTCACCATCCCCACCCCTGAATCTCACTCTCCAGAGGCAACCACTTGTAACTCTTTTACCTGTTTCTTCTATTATTCATTTCTAATTTTCTAAATATTGTACTTATACAACTGCTATTTCTTTATCTTTCAATATTATAAATTGCTTAAAGACTTCCCTACTGAGGAACCTAGGATTTTAGTCTTCGACATTCCGTTCCCGTCCCCATACTCTTGAGGCAATTATAGCACCCACAAGGGGCTATCTCAGAATCCAGTGTTAACAATGTAAATGTGGTTGACAGCTGAGCTGCACAGAGGACTCACTATGCTCATACTCCTGTAGTGGTAATACTTTTGTATTTTGTGAAATTGATTGCTTAGATCGGGGGTGTGTGTATACACACATACAAATACCTACATTTATATATTCATATATATTTTTTATATATTCATATGTATAGTTTTGACAAAACCATTAAACTCTCCTGAATACAAAAATATACAACAAGGAATATATTAGTTTCATTTTTTTTAAATGTATCATTTTGAGAGTCCTCTGTCATGCTACACAAATATGAACTTGCTGCTCTCTAGGCCTCTGACAGCTGTCATCCTACACTTCCCTTCAACACTGTCCTGGGAATCTCCTTTGCCCCATCCTCTACTGAATCCCTTGTTTCCATGAGTATCACGTCTTTCTCTTCCTTCAATTAATTTCTTAGTTTTAGTGACTCACATCCTCCAGTAACTTTTTCAGAAAGAGTGTCTCAAAATATTGCTATTCCAGTCTCACAAATAATCACTATTTTGGCTGGGTATGAAACTCTATCTTGGAAATTTTCGTCCTTCAGAAAGTTTAGGAACTTCTTTATTGGTTTCTAACTTTCAGTGTCACTGAGAAGCCCAGAGCCATCCTAATTCCTGATTCTTTGTAGGTAAAATCCATTGCCTTCCCAATCACCAGAAGCTTTCGGAATATTATCTTTACTGAGATGCTCTGAAATTTCATGATGATTTACCTTGGTGCGGTCTCTTTTCAACAGCTATGCTGAGTGTTCAGTGGGCATTTTCATCATTAAGTAATTAAATTCATTTGTTCCCTTTTATCTCCATACCAACCTCCCATCTCCCTGCCATACAAACTACCATTACAATGTATTCAGTGTATACCTTTTATGTGAATGCATTTTTACAAACTATTATGTGTTCATGTGTTTTTTTAGATAGATGCTATTATTTCACCTTCTTTTTTTCACTAAACTCTATGTTTTTAAGATACTCTATGTTTTCAAGTGCACATGGTATTTGTTGCCCCTAACTGCTACATAGTTTATCATGGTATGCATCGAACAGTTTATCTGCCTACTCTCCCAGTTATGAATACTGAGGTTTTCTCCAACTCCTCACCACCAAAAAACAATGCTGGAAAGAATATCCTTGCACATGTCTCAACAGATCTTTAAATCTGGCAATGTGAGTTTACTGGTTCTGGAAACATTTTTGGCATTTTTCTTTGTTAATTTCTTCCTCTCCATTTCCCTGTTCTCTCTATGGAACTCTTATTAGTTGAATGTTGGATCAATCCTCTGATTTTCTTATTTTTGTTCTATTTTCTAGGTAATTTCATCGACTTTATATTCCAACCATTTACTATCTTTTTATTACATTTTTACATTTTTTACATTAGTGTAAATTCTACAGTCATTATTTTACATTAATTCCCAAGTGCTCTTCTTAACTGCTAAATGTTCTCTTTTTTTATAGCAATGTTATTTGTGAATAAAATTATTTCCCTTCTATGTCTGCTGATATCAATTACATGCTTTAAAGGTTATCTTCTGCTCCCTGCATTGTTCATACTTCCTCAAGTTCCTTTTCTCTATTTTTATTTTGTTTGTGTCTTTTGTGTAGGATCTTTTCTTCAAATGCTGATGATCCCTACCTGTGTGTTCATATTTAAGAGCAAGGCACAAAAGGCTTATTGAAAACTCTGTCTGCACGGTTGGGGCTTGTAGAATGGTGAGTGCAGTGGGTTGAATGGTGCCCCTCCAAAAAGTTATGTCCACATCCTAATTCCAGGAACCTGTGAATGTTACCTTATTTGGAAAAAGGGTCTCTGCAGATGTGATTAAGTTAAGGATCTTGAGATGAAGAGGTCATCCTAGATCATCCAGGTGACCCTAAATCCAAGGACAAGTGTCCTCATAAGAGAGAGGCAGAGGGAGATTCTAGACAGAAGAGAAGGAGGAACTATGACTACATGATGCAGCCACAAGCCAAGGAATGCCTGGAGCTGCCAGAGGCTAGAAGAGGAAGGAAATAAATTCTCCCCTAAGCCCTCAAAAGGAGTATGACCCCACCAGATTTTGAACCTCTAGCCTCCAGAACTGTGAAAGAATTAATTTCTCTCAGTTTTAAGCCAACTACTTTGAGGTAAATTATTGCAGCAGCCATAGAAATCTAAGATCATGTGCTTCACTGAAGGTGATGGGTGGGAACCGGTTCTCTGATCACCTTCAAATATCAGTATATGTAGGTCTTTTCTCTTAAGATGAATAGTTTCCCCGGAGAGGAATCCCATGAACCCCTTCCAGACTGCTACAATTCCGAGAGTCGTGCAGTAGAAGTGGGCTGGGAGTATGACATTCAGTTTGTGGACTTTCATTTAACTTTCCTGTTTTCACTCCAGCATATCAACGCCGCCCTCAGAGGCAGCTGATGTTACCATTCCAAGCTCCTCTGATTCAGCCTCTACAGAGAGTAAGTCTTCTAACTTTGGCTGGGATGGGAGTTGGGTGGGGCAGACACCTGTCAGCATTGTTTGGGGGTAGAGATCTAAGGTACTGAGGAGAGCAGATCTAAGTGTTCCTTACAAGGACTTTTGACCAATCCTCTTCTTCTAGTACCACCCACATTCCAACTCTCAGACACAGTGGTTGACTCTAATTCCTGAGCCTTCTAGGGCTCTCATTTTGCTTTTTTATTGGTATTCCTCGTTGTAGGCAATTAAATCTCAGTTTTCCTGCTACTAGGTCAGTCACCATTTACTCTCTGTCTTCAAAAATTTTGTTGACATCTCTCATCTATTGTCATTTTTGCTCTTGTCCTCTTTGTCACTGTCTCCTTCTTTTAAATTGATTTCCTGTGGTAGTGGAGCTATAAGGGATGACCAACTTACTTCAAGTAGCCGTGTTTAAACAGAAGCACCACCTTATAAATTTCCATTGGAAGAACTTATGCCACTCAGACAAGAAATTAAGTTCAGTTTTGCTTAGAAAAAGAAGCAAATCTACCTCTAAAATCTCCCCTTGTTTCAGCCCTCCTATTTTATACCTTTCATTTCCTAAAGTGAACGTTCCACTCTGGTTAAATTAGGTTGCATTACACTCTCCTCACTCTTCATGACAAGTCCCATTTCTTCATCTTTGCTTAAGGTGTGGTGCTCCCCTTCCTGGAATATTCACTCCCATATATTCTATTTTATCCTATTACATATTTTACATCCCAAGCAAAATCCCAACCCTTCATGAAACCATCCCTGACAACTTCAGACTATATATATTTGTCCCTTCCTCAAAACAAATGGTTTGTATTTTATATTAGTCAGTGAAAGAACTCCTGCATCCTAGCTGTTTCAAGTGTTTGCTGTCCTTTTGGCACAACATAAGTTTCTTAAGGGCAGGAACTGTGCCTTATTCTTCATGTGCTCCTTGCAATGCTTACCGTGGCACTGAACACTGAGTGCTTGCTGACTGATGTACACCAATTCAAGCCACAAGTATGATATCTGATGTCCAATACACGATAGAGTAAGAATCTTTTGAGGGTAAAGCCTGTATTTTATTCAACTTTATATCCCTAACAACCAGGACAGTGTTTGACACAGAAGGTCTCTGACTGTTGAATGAATGAAAGGAGGGATGAATAAATGAACCTCACTGGACACCGTGTTCAATGTTGTACCTGATCTAAAGATTTTTTAATTCCAAAGAATAGTAAAGACTATTAGAACGACGATTCACTACTCCATTCCCAGCATCTAGAAGAGCATTTGGAAGATAGGGGCTGCTCGGCAAACGTCTTCTAAATGAAGGTTAAATGAAGGAATCTGCCAGGAGTCAAGAGCATGAGTTCACAGTTAGAAAGAAGAGGACAGAGATACATTTGGCTTACCCGGAAAGCACTCCCAGGACTAGGTTGAGAACAAAGAAGGATCCAATGATGATGAGGGGGATGAAGTACAGCCAATTCCAGGTGGCTCCTAAGGCATCATTGGTCTGAAAGAAAGAAAAATGCTTCCTTAATACTTCATCAAAATCATCTGCCAGAAGAAGACCTCCATTCCTGCAGCTTTCCACGTAGGATGATGTGACAAGCACAGCACAATACACTTAAACACCGCCTCGCTTCACTCCTGACTTGTGAAGGACACTGCCTCAGCCTCATGTAACATCCTGAATTGGAACAGTGTAACACCCTCACTTAACAGATGAGATAGCTGAACCCAGAAAGGTCAAATACTTTTCCAAGATAATGCAAACAATCACTGGGTTTATAGTGTTTGGTGATGTGGGTTCTAAGCCCTTGCACTCTAAATTGGACAGATTCTCAAAAATACAGAGGTTGGCTATGTCCATCACTCTAGTCCATGGATGCTGGCAAAGGCCTTGACAGGGTTGCTTGGGAGAAATTAGTGTCATCCACATCCTGCTCAGCTCTTGACCCTGGGCTCTGGCTTTCTTTCCTCCATCATAGTCCAATAGTACAGAGCTAGACCAGGCCTGGCCCTAGCAAGGCTCTGGACAGAACAAGGGATAAATCTAGATTTGAAGAGTGATCCCTGGCTCTCTCTCTAATGCTAACACACAGTGAGCTGAAAAATGCACGGAAATCTACATTCTGGACTCTTGTACTACAAGTGAGATGCAAGGCCCTTGGATGGCAGGGGGTTGAGGAAGAATTATACCACATGACTTAGCCAAAGAAGCAACTCATGGCAGAATGTCTTATTAGGACCTTGAAAAAGTTTTGAAGCATTTTTGAAAAGTCCTCTCCGACACCTGAGCCTCTCAACTAAGCTTTACCTTGACTCTCCTTCCCCATGATATCTACCCCAAATCTTTCTAAATACTCCCCTTGAATTGCATTATACATATGCAGGGCTTTGAAATCCCCTCAACCCCACCTCACCCCTGAACACGCAAGCTTTAATACCTGTTTGAAACTCAACAGTTTCTGGAAAGAAAGATATTTCATTCCCAATTCACTGGAGAAACAAGGCCATCAAAGTCAAATGCTATGCTTAAAATTCACATGCTGAATTAAATTAATATCTAAACACAGAATTTCTACGGAAAAGTGTTTCTTGTCCCTGGGATTTACCTTTTTCTCCCTCTCACTATTAAACTTTGCAAACATATTTTGATTCATTCTCCCCATGCTTCCCGTGGACTTCTATGACATTCTACCTTGTTTTTCTGCCAAATTATCGTATTTTCTCTCTGCCTCCCATTCAAATACATCAGCCCAAAGAACACAGCCTCCCACTGATCATGGCAGCTATCACTGTACTAGGTTTTTCCATTAAAAATAGCTTCTAAGGCAACCTCTTTCACCAAACTTGTGTGTTTTGTCTGGCCCCTACACTGTTCAGAGAGATGATTGTAAATGAAACAGAATAAAAGTTAAAAACAAATGCCTTCTGAACCAGATGGGGCAAAGCCAGGGAGCTGCTGACTGCAGTGTGTAAGATGTAGCTCTTTAGTTCAACCAGATCTGGTCAGTTAAATGCAAGCAGGGAAGATGTGGGCCAGACCTCTGAGAAAACTGCTTCTGATTATCAGAAGGAAGGCTCAGAAGAACCAAATGCCAAGGGTCACAGGGGTTCTAACGGACATAGGAAGCTGGGTTTTCTGATGTAGTTGAGATATGGTCCTTCCTGTGAGCTGAAAAATGGATTGAATGACCTTTGTATAACTAGCTCTGTCTTTATTCATAATTACAAATGCCACATTTTGTAAAGACTAGTTAGCTCAGATGGTTCACCAGTAATGCTCCAGATTGACAAGTTTCACTCTCTCTATGGCTTAGCAAGCACCCCACTTCCCACCCCTCGCCCTTAGCATTCTTTGGCAGGAAGGACTGAGTCTGCTCCCAGCATCCAGATCAGGGTTCAGTTGCCAATAAACATTAGTTCGTGTCAGCAATGGCAATGATGAAATTGTGAGTTTTACAGTGTCTTTGGTCCCAGGAGTGACTGGGCTACAGTTTGAGGCTGGCTGGAGCAATTTCATTCGGGTGACTATTTGCCAGAGATGCTACAGAGTGAAGAACATTTCCCAAATTGTGTTCTTCTCATTGCTAGAGCTCTGGAAGATATTAAAATGTTCTGTGGAAAATGAGCTTCTGTAACCAAAGAAACTTGGGAAACACAGTAGATTACATTTTCCCCTTAGCTTGTGAGAAGACCCACAAAAAAGAAGCATTATTAATTTTTACTCCGTCACTTCAGGCAATTCCTTGATTATGAAACCTCCCTTTTCAAAGGAAATCTATTAACTAATCTGTTAATCTAAATCTATTATCAGAATATATACAGCTTGTGAAATGCAGGGACTAAAGGACTCCCCTCACTGGCCCAGAGTCTGGAACGTGCTTCTCAGTTCTTCTATAAAACATCAATGAGGAGCAGTCTCTTTATTCAGTGTTTTGTAAAAATATTTTGGTTTTGCTTTAACTAAGACAAGAACCTTAACTGTCTGCTCATTTCTGTATCTGGTTCCTAACAAACTGTTTGGCACACATAGCTGCTCGATTAATTGATAAATGACCACAGTTTGAATAAGATGATCATTATGCTTAAAATATACCAAAAAAAAAAAAAAAGAAGAAGAAGAAGAAATCATTCTGATATTCCCCTCTCACTCTGTGGAGATTTGTAAATTACTGAAAAAAAAAAAAAGTCCTTCACTACAGCATTGGGGCCAGTTGGATGAGAAAAAGAGGAGGAAGGGGAGGAGGAGAAAAAGAATCTCTGGCAGGACACCAGAAGCAGCACTATGCCCTGGGGGTTATTAAAGATGACTGACAGCTTAAAAGGTTCTTCTGGAGAAAGCAGAGTGACAGCTCCCGCGATTATTCACAAACCTTTAAATAGACCTGCCGTGCCCTCCCTACACCTTTCTCCTCTCCCTCGGGCTTCCTGGCAGTTCTTCCCCGCCTCATCCTTCCTCGCCAGGTGGCCTCACCCTCACCTCACGTGCCTGTCAATGGGTCAAGGACGCATGCAGTAGGACAAGGCGACACACCTCAGCAGGAAGCGGGCAAGCAAAGGACTTCACACTTCCCTCCTCCAAAATGACGGGGTTCCTTCTGATGCTAATTAGAGCTTCAATCTCCTTCTGATTCATCATTAGCAAAACCTTAAAATTGTCCAGTGTAGGAGAGACAACTACTAAAGCGTCTTTTGAGATTAAAAAAGAAGAAAGTAATCGACAACTCTCAAGGCAGCAAGTGCCCATCTATCATGTGAGGTGGGAGGCAGGAACACCACGCAGAACGCTGCCAGTTCAACCCCAGAGTTGTGACTGTGTTCTCTCTGGGGGTATGCAGGTGTGTCTGTGTCCCAGCAGGAGGGGGCAGAGAGGAGGGTTGCCTGTGCGAAAGGGAGAATTTCTACTTTTCCTCCTTTCTCCACCGTGCCCCTCTGCTTCTGCGACTCTCACCAGCAGCTTGTATGTAGGAGCATCACGTTTTCTTTTCTCTAGTGACTCCTCCTTCAAAGACAGGGGACAGCCATGCTAAGTATTTTGAGCAAGAACCTGGGGAAGGAGACCCATAGCTTTCCAGCCATGATGCCCTGGATTCTGGCTCCAGGAGAGCGGAAGCTTCCCTGCCCAGAAGGCTGCTGTGGAGCAGCTAAGTGTAAACGAGGTCCCTCCATGCAAAGAAGGCTACCAGCCTCTTCATTCCACCCCATTCATGGAACACCTACTCTGCGTTAGGCATTACAGAAGAGTGCTTTTCTTTAGGGTAATGTCCTCTTATTTAAGGTGCTGATTCTCCTCCCACCTGACCCAGCCAAGGCTCTCAGCTGGCAGGCTGGCTGCGCTCCATCTTTCTCACCTGCTCATTCCCTGAGCGACACACACATGCACACGTGCACATGATGGGGGTGATAACAGACAGAGAAAGCAGTCGGGGGTGGCAGCCCACCTGCACAAGGAGTGCTTAGCGGGTACCAGTCCTGAGACAGTGGGAAAGCGTTCCTTTGGGAACCTGCCTGACTGGGGGTGGTGAGCGCCCCCACTCCCTGCGTAAACAGGCACACTCGCCAATTATCACATTAATCTCAGGGGTATGGAGGGAGCTGGTGGAAAGTGGGGGTGGGAGGAGCAGGACTGGAGAGAAAGATGGGGATGGAGAAGGGAAGAGGAAAGGGGTCCCATGGTTCTCCTGGCCTGAAGCTGTTTAGGCGGCGCTAGGCCCCCATCCTTGGAAGCAGGTCTCTATCAGCATTCCACAGGGCTCTGTGGAAAATATGCTGAAGGATCTCTTGTACGTACACCCCTTTCACAGAGCAGCTCTGACAGGGAGGCTGAAATTTATCTGAGTGGGGAGGCTGAGAGAGTTGAGACCAGGAAAAAGGAGGATACTGATTCCAGAGTCCTTTCAGAAAAAAGGGTCTCTGTGGCACACCTGCTTCCCAGGCTGGAGGCAGTGCCTGCCGGCAAGCCCTGGGCTGGCCTACAGCAGGGTTTCTCAGCCAGGACACTACTGGCAGTTTAGGCTGGATAATTCTTTGTTGTAGCGGGCTGCTCTGTGTGATGCATTAGCAGGATCCTGGCTTCTACCCACTACATGCCAGGGGCACTCCCCCAGTTGTAACTACCAAAAGTGTCTCCAGAATTGCCAAATGTCCTGGACCAAAATGGCTTCCAGCTGAGAACCTCTAGCCTAGAGGAGGCTCTGTCTCAAGGAGGATCTTTGGAATTACCAACTGAGCTCCAGTGAAGGGATGGTTGGAGCAGCCACCCTAGGTGGACAAAAAGGCTAGGCCATTCATCACAGTAAAAGTGTCTGTCCAAGGCCTCTGCTGACCACCCCAGGGAAAGAACATTCAGAGAGGGCGAGAGTGGGGAAGGAAAGGGACAGAGACCAAAGACTGATCCAACCGCAAAGCACCTTCCCTAAGGGCAGCACACACGGGCTGGCCCCTACCCAGCTGACTTGCCTCTCCTTGGCCCCCACTTCTTTCCACCCCTTCATTCCTCCCTCG